GCCCCATCACACCACCCAGAACCGACTGGCACCCATCCTCGCCGGGGCAGCGCGCACACAGCACGAGCTGCATGCAACGCTGGGCTTGCAGCACCGTGGTTGTTTGGCGCCGCGTGTTTTTGTGCAAAGGCTGGGTCCACCAGTGCGGGGATGGGGCCAGTCCTGGCGGTTGAGTGCTTTCAAGAGGAGCGTGCGGGGTGTGTACATTGGTGGTGGATGGCTGCACAGCGGACCGTGCCTCACCAACGTACTTCCCCCTCACACACCGCCGCCTGCATTGTTTTCTTTGGCGCGCGGTTTTGGCTGAGAAGGTGAGAAAATACGGCGTTCCGCATTCGGAGGGGGGACGAACTACCACACACATACACACAAGCAGAAACTGACTCATAATAGTCGATTGTCGACGGTCCTGCATGGGGCCTGGGGAAGAGGGCCCCCAAAACGCGAGTATGACGAAAGAGTTCCATGATCCGCCTCCCTCGGGGTCCCTTTTCCCCATGGAGCGCGGCATCCCGAGACAACTTCCTGCAAGTGCGGCGGGGGTCATCCTGTCCAACATCATCCCTCCACTCCGGCCCCGTTCCCTCCTCATCCCTCCTCCCTCTTCCCTCCTCATCCCTCCCTCTCCTTTTCCTCCCTCCTCCCTCCTCCTCCCTCCTCCTCTCTCCCCCTCCCCCTCTCCCTCTCCCTCTCCCTCTCCCTGTCCCTCGTTTCCTCCAATGTTTTCCTTTTGCAATATTCCTCCTTGCCGCACCCAGAGGCCAATTGGACGGGCGGGCAGGGCGGTTTGCCTGAAACTTCCTGCGCGCTGATGAACCTGGAGCTTAAACTATGTCAATCGTTTCACACATTGAGGGCGGGGCACTTTCGACATTCTCGCTTTAGCGCCAGGCCGTGTCGTTTTCAAACTGTGGTTCTCGCTTTAGCGACGCAGACAATCGTTTGAACCAACTTGCACTTGTTTCGCGGATTGAAGGCGGGTGGTTTTCAAAACGTGGTCTCGCCTGAGTGCCGCGCAGATTCGTTTGAACAGTTTGCAGGAACTTCACGGTTTGAAGGCGGTTCTTTTTCAAGCTGTTTTGCTCGCGCACAACATTTGCAATAGTTTCATTGGTTCTCATGCCAGGGCAAGCAGTTACGTTGATTCGCGGTGTTGATGTCTCAGGAACGGCGTTCTGGCACGAATGAGGATCGTCTAGACGCAACAGTCCGGTCCACTCGTGACGTTGAAGTCCTGAGAATGGTGTTGCGGGACGCTTCGGGATTTTCGCACTGTTGTCCCCCGACGGGGCACTTCCCTCAGTGGACATGAATTCCTTGTAGGGACCTACGGTAAGGGAGCTCCGAGGGAGGGTGTATTCCAACATCGTTGATGAGTCTTGGGCTTGCGCTGGTCCTTCCTCCTCCTCCTCCTCCTCCTCGTCCTCCTCCTCCTCCTCCTCCTCCTCCTCCTTTCTCCGCAGCAGCTGAGCGCGTCGCCCACAGGGCGCGCCCCGCGCCCGACGCGCCCGGGCGCGGCCGGGGCCGGGGCTGGCCCGCCCTGTCCGGAGTGTTGGAAGAATGAGGGGAAGGCCGCCCACACCCTCGGATACCACCTGGGGCCTCGGACCGGGAGATGGGAGGTGGGTGGAGCGACGGGGCCACTCAGCCGTAGGTGCGGTACATACCGTCAGCGCAGTACCTCGACAGCAGCGCAGCACCTGGAGCACCTCATCAGTAGGGTACACGATGTCTATGATGGTGGTACCAAATGGGCTAAATTGCTAAACGTAATATCTTGTGGGTAAGATGTATATGTGCACCGTCGTCCGTAGCGCTGTTGTTCTCTGGCTTCAGACAGGCTGGTCTTGCCATGACTCCCAGCAACCGTCGTTTGCCAGGTCGCAGTACTCAGCGTTCCATCTGTCTTCGTTTGAGCAGGTGTTGTCCTTTTCGCTACTCTCTTCGTGCTCCACGTCGCTCTCGTTGTCCTCGTCGTCGCACTCGTCGTCCTCCTGTCGTCGTAGAAGTTCCGCGGCGGGGAATGGGCATGGGCCGCTGCCGCTGACCCATCGGCATCGGCGTCTGGTGCGCTTCGTAATGGTCGCGGGCGGACAAGAGGTAAGAGCACTCGAGTGGCTCCTGAGGGGCCCAGCGTGCAGAACATCGCGCCCCCGTCCTCGATGGCGGTCAACAGTCACGTCTAAAAGCCCCATCGTATCGTGGGGTTTGTAGTGCGAGGGGTTGGTGAGTTTGGACATGGCCCTGATGGCGCAAGCCTCTCTGATTCTCCCCCTCGGCAGTCATGGCCCCGAGGACGTCTTGCCCCTCCAGCACGGCGTAAACGATGAAGATGGGCTCGTCCTGCTCGTCGCTCTCCTTGTCCTCCTGTCGCGGCCCTCGCAGCTCAGCTGGTGGCTCTGGGAGTCCTGGTCGCGGCCCTCGTAGCTCGGCTCGTTGCCCTCATCGTTCGGCTGGTGGTCTTCGTGGCTGTGTCGGGGGCTCCAGGGGTTCAGCTCGTGAACCTTGTAGTTCAGCTGGTGTCGCGGGTGGCTCTGCTGGAGGCCCTTGCTGGTCAGCTCGTGCCCCGCGTAACTCAGCTTGTGGTCTGTGTAGCCGTACTGGCCCTCGTAGCCCGACTTGTGGTCCTAGTTGCTCGGCTTGCCGACCTTGAAGCTCAGCTTGTGGCCCTCGCAGCCCTGCACGTGGCTCTGGACTCTGGAAGCTCAGCTGGTGGCGCTGGTCGCCCCGCTTGTGGCCTACGTAGCTCACTAGGTGGTCTTCGTAGCTGAACTGGTGGCTCTCGTAGCTGGGCAGGTGGTCCAGGGACCTAAGCTGGTGGCTGTCGTAGCCGTGCGCGCGGCCATCGTTGCTCAGCGTGTGGCCTACCTACCTCATGTGGTGGCTCTCGGAGTCCTGATCGCGGCCCTCGGAGCTCGGCTTCATGCCCCTGTAGTTCAGCTGGTGGCTCTCGTAGCTGTGTCAGGGGCTCTCGAGGCTCTGCTCGCAGACCCTGTACTTCAACTGGTGGTGCAGGTAGCACTGCTGGAGGCCCTCGTCCCACTGCACGTGTTCCAAGTAGTTCAACTTCGTAGACCCGCTGGTGGCGATCGTAGTTCACTTGGTGGCCCGCGTAGCCCAACTGGTCCTCGAAGTCTTGGTTGCTCTGGTAGCTGAGCTGGTGGTGTTGGTAGCTCAGCGGGTGGCTTTCGTAACTCTGCAGGTGGTCCTCGTAGCACAGCTGGTGGTCCTCGTAGCTCAGCAGGTGATCTTCGTAGCTCAACTGGTGGTTCTCGTGGCTCGACAGGTGGCCCTGGTAGTCCAGCTGGTGGCACTCGTAGTTCGCTCTGCGCGCGGCCCTCGTAGCACAGCTTGCGGTCTCTGTAGCTCCGCTTGTTGCTTTTGCAGCTCACCTGGTGGCCCTCGAGGCTCTGCGCGTTGCCCCGGATTTCTGGCAAGTAGTCGTTGTGGCTCTGCTGGTGGCCATTGGCTCTGTTGTGGTCTCCTTGGCCTCCCTGTCCTCCTCAGCCTCTTCTGCCTTCCTGGACTCCTAGGCATTCGTGGATTTGTTCCAATGGTCCCAGGCGGCGTAGTTGCACAGGGAGTCGTAATCCTGACAGTTCTGGTAGAAATCGTAGTGCCGGTGCTCGTCGTATCACTGGTGGTCGTATATATTCTGGGGTCCGTTGTAGCTGGTTGCGCTGGCTCCAATATTTGGGACAAGGACGCGCCAGGTCGCCCCAGAACTGTCCCTTCTCGCCTGGGGGGGGCCATCGTGGTCTGGCTCGGCTTGAATATGGCTGCGGCTGGGTTCAAGCCGCCGCTCTTACTGTCGTGGTTGCCGTCGGTCTTGGTGGCGTGCTTGGCGTCGTGCTGGTGGTGGTTCTCGTACTCGGGCTGCCTGTTACGCAGTACGTCCTCGGTCTGCATGTTGCGCAGCTCGTCCCGTCCTTTTGTAAACACCATCATGATGGTGATCGTAGCGATGGTCATGATGACGTTGATGTGTGGCCGCAGCCCGTGTCGGACGAGGTAGCCCGTCCCTTTGAAATCTACCTCTGCTCGTGCCCCTCTATGCTTGTATGCACTCGGCATGCCAGCCGGCGGGTCCCCACCGAGGTGGGTTTGGTCTCGTAGCCCTCAGCCGGCGTTGTAGATCTCCAGCTCATCATTCAACAGCTGGTGCCTGACCTCCTCTTCCTCCCAAATGATCACCCGCAGGTGGATGATCACCCTTTCCAGGATGTTCACCTTCTGATGGCACGCGCGCCGCCGATCGCGGCTGGCGCGCTGAGGCCGGCCCCCCAGTGGCGCGCGCGCGGCCGGGCGCGGCGCCCAGGGGCGAATGCGGGGGATTGAGCTCCTGCAAACAGCCTTCCTCCTCCTCCTCCTCCTCCTCCTCCTCCTCCTCCTCCTCCTCCCTCCTCCTCCTCCTTCCTCCTCTCTCTCATCTCTCTCTCTCGGCGACGCGCGAGATGTGGTGGACGGGGGGGGGCCAGAGGAGGAGGAGGAGGAGGAGGAGGAGGAGGAGGAGGAGGACGGGAGGAGGAGGAGGAGGAGGAGGAGGAGAGGAGGGACGAGGAGGAGGAGGAGGAGGAGGAGGAGGAGGAGGGAGGAGGAGGGATGAGGAGGCGGAGGAGGAGGATGAGGAGGAACAAATATTCGATGCAGGGAAAGGATCCCAGGACGTTTTCCGCCGCCTCCCGGCCTCTGGGGCGCCCCCCGCGGGCCGTGGGGTCATCAAACAACGAGACTCGGGAGGAGGATTTGGTCCGGGGGGATGCCCCGGGGTCTGGTAGTGCCCGTTTACCTCGGGACCCCGCTCCCTCACGGCGAACGGGGAAGGGTGGCTGAGAGGGAGCCACCTGAAAGTTCGTATTGTGCGCGGAGGAACCAGGCGAGGAGAAGTAAGACGATGATGCGGAGGAGGAGCATGAAGAGAAGGACATCGAGAGAGGAAGAAGCTGAGAGATGGGAGGCTTCGGTCTGTGGGGTGATCTGTCGCCCGATCCCGCTGTAGCCTGAACGCAATCCTCCTTGGTGTCCATGTTGAGGGAGTCGTGCAACGAAATATGCCTACCCTTCTTCTCCTCACCGTGCTTCTCCTCCTCCCAAAATTCCCCCTCATTCCCTGGCCTCCTCATCTATGTGCTGTCATGTCTCATTCGCTTCCCAGACGTGTCGGGAGGTCAGAACTCGAGATTCGATGGAGGACGGGCCCGTTTTCAACATATGGTGTTCGACACAGTGCCGTCCATATGATTGAACACACTCTCAACAGTCACGCGAATAACGGGCGCGTCAATTCCAAGATGTGGTTCTCGCCATAGCGCCTTGCGCACCCGAGTTACGCAATCCCTGACAAGTACGCAGATGCAACACATGTGGTTTTTAAAAAGTGGCTCTCGCCCTAACGCCGTGCACCCTCCTCCTACGGTTTCCATCATTTGCACGAATGAAGGGCAGCTTTATTTCACACGCGGGCTCTCGCTTGGGAGTCCACTGTACGAAACGCCAAAAGCCCAATACCAATGCAACAAATATGCGGGTGGATGGCGGATGCTTTACATGGCGGTGGTCTTACTTAAGACTTCATCATCGATTGTCACCATGAGGGGAACAACCAGGAAATGAGGGTGAAGCTGGCCCAGGGCGAATCCCAATCCTCCAAAATATTGCCCAAAGACACCCCACATCTCCGCAGGGATCACCTTTGCAAGCTTCTGGGAAACAGACCCCCCCAATGTAACAAGTGACGGCCCTTGGGCCAACTAACCGCGGTAGATCTGTATAACCCTCCCTGGCGGCCGACACCCAACAATAACTGGCAAATCATAATTCTGTTGCCGTCGCAGCCGCAAGCGACGTCGTCGTCGTCGTCGTCATCGTCGTCGTCGTCATCGTCGTCGTCGTCCAAGTCGTCGTCGTCGTCCGCCGACGAACGCTGCTACGACTCTGCGAAAAGCAGGTCGAGGGAAAGGGCACGGACTCATACTACAAACCTTGTACGAACAGGCACGGATCTGTTCTATCGTGCAGGGTAGCCCAAGGGATAAGATCCGCCAGGAGAATGAACCACCCAAGTGCGACGTCGTCGTCGTCAATCGCTCGGTCGGCCAATCGTTCGGTCGTCGTCTTCGTCGATCGCTCGGTCGGTCGGCCGGTTGTCGTCGGTCGCTCGGTCGATCGGCCGCTGGGTCGCTCGGTCATTCGTTCGGTCGGTCGGTCGGTCGTCGTCGCCGTCGTTGTCATTCGTCGGTCGTCGCCGCGATTCGTCGTTCGGTCGGTCGGCCGGTCGGTCGGGCGGATTCGAAGGCTGTCGCATGAGTGGGCAGATAGAGCGAGCTACGCCTCCTCACTAGACGGACGCGCCTAGCCAAAACTCTCGCCTGCAAATGACCCACCTGGCTGTAACGCTGCCGCTCCTTATCCGCAGGAGGAAGGGGAGGAGAAAGAGATGAGGAGGACCGGGAGGCGAATGCAGCACATATCATGGGGGGGAGGTGCTCGAAGCGGCGAGTTGCAGAGGTCTTCTGGTTTGCTGCCCTCTGCAGTACAGCACGCGAGTGCAGCTCAGGCCGTGACTCTTCAAGCCCTTTGCCCTCAGCGCTGCTCTGCTGCTCTGAACTGCAATCGCTGGCGCGCACACTTTTTGGTCTGCGGGTCGAAAGCGAGCCTCTTCCGGTAAAGAGCTAGGCGGGCCGCGCAAAGCACCAATTGGGGAGACAGAGCACAAGCGGGCGGGGCCTCAGGCGGCCGGAGGGCAGGCCGGGGTGCAGGCGAGCGGTGTGGTGTTGCCGTCGGCGGCGCATCGTAAACACCATCCTCAAGTGCTCGCTGGCGCGCACACACGTGCATTGGTTGCATTCCGATTTGCGCGCCGTGCGCAAGATCGCCCACGGGACCGTCTGGAAACTGCGAGGGGCATCCATGCCGGCGACCCCGCCGCTGCCTGGGAGGCCCGCCGCCGATCAAGGGCTCTCAGAACTCGCCTTTGGGGGCATTCGCGGGGAAGGCCTTCACGAGTGTCTTGGCCGGCTTCGCCTTCTCCGTGACGGCTCTGCCGAAAATCTCGCGTTTCCCGGCCTTGGTCGCCTGGCGGGTCTGGACCATGGCAACACCGGGAATGACGAACTCGCCGTTTGCCGTCGCCTCTCGGCTCTCCGCGAGCGCTGCGGTGAGAGCGCTCGTGGTCATGATCGCGTCCTCTGCGGTCTCCTCCTGCCCTGCTGCCGCCGGCTGCCGGCTCGTCGTCTTCGTCCTCCTCCTCCTGTTTCTCCTCCTCCTCCTCCTCTTTCTCCTCGACGCTCGTTCTGCGTTGCCTGCCTCTTGGCCGTCGTCCTGGCCGCCTCCTCTGGGCTTCCTCGGCGTCTCCCTGCTGCCTCCTCGTGGTCTCGTCGTCGCTCTCCTGCCGCTGTTGCTCCTCCTCCTCCTCTTCCTCCTCCTCCTCCACGTTCTCCTCCTCCTCTTCCTCCTACTGGTCGCCGCCCCCCGCTGGGCTTCCTCAGCGCCTATCTGCTGCCTCCTCATGGTGTCGTCGTCGTGCCGTTGCGAGAGCCGTTTTGCGATCTCTGGCGAAAGCCCGCAATCGCGACATGGCGTTCCTGCGGAAACCCTTCCCGCATGCTGCTCGACATGCAATGTGCCAGCTGCCAAACTGATAGGACGGGGACCCCACAATGCAACAGCTGACTCATGAGGAGGGGCTACAACATATACAGCACCACCACCTCCCTCGCCCCCTCCCTCTCCCACGAAAGGGGAGAGAAAGAGGAGGGAAGAGGAGGAAAAAGAAATTGAGGTGGTGGTGGCGTATATGTTTGGGACCCGCACGTGAGGAGGGGGCGGAAGAAACGCGAAAAGATGCAGCAACGCTGACTTCCACGCGAATGGAAAATGCCATCCGAAACACAAACCGCGTCAACATCGGCCGTAATTCGCAGCAGCGCACGGCATGCAAATCGAAGCGCCCCAGGCCGAGCGGGCAGCGCGGTTGCCAAACGTCAGCCTGCGATGCGGGAGGAAGACGACGAGGAAGAGGAGGTAAGGGAGACGAGGGAGAAAAGATACATGCGGTGTGTGGGGGGGGGAACCCCGACGGCCCTGCCAGTCTATGTGAACACACAGCGGGCGCACCGATTACGAACCGAGGCAGCAGGAACTCGCCCGCTCCGGACTCGGGAAGGCGAAAAATATTTGTTGTTTTTTGGTCGGCGGGTCGAGAGCGGGCCTCTTCCCGTTAAGAGCTAGGCGGGGCGCGCGAAACACTAATTGGGGAGACAGGGCGCGGGCGGGCGGGGCCTCAGGCGGCCGGAGGGTGCGGAGTACAGGCGGTGCCGATGAGCTTGCACAGGAAAAGGTACACCTTGGACAGGAGCCGGAGGCGAAGTCCCGGAGTGAGAGCGGTGTGGTGTTGCCGTCGACGGCGCATCAAAATCACGAAGGGGGAGATACAAGGGAGGGAAGAGGAGGAGGACGGACTGGGGGCCAGGGAAATGCACGACCTTTGAGCGACCGAGCATTCTTTCGCAGGCCCTCGACAGGGTGTCACGGGGACCTGGCCGCGGTCAGGCCGCTACCCTTTGAAAAGCCCGCCCCTCCATTGGGAAAGGCGCCTCCCTCCAGTAGCGAACAAAAATGGAAGCAGAGACGGGCTAGACAGAGAAGGTAAAACAACACAAACACATACGTTCGGAGTTCCGCGCGGACTTCCTGGATCGGCGCTACACCCCCTTCCCTGGCGCGCGGAGCGTGCCGGGGGCGGCGCCGGAGGCGCCGCCGTTCCCAGCACCGATCCAAGAAGTCCTAGCGGAGCTGCAAAAGTTTATGGTCCTGCCGCTGTGTCTGCTTTGATGTAGGGGAAACAGGAAGCCTCACCATTGATTGACTCTTGGTCCCTCCATTCGGATCGGGCGAAAGGGGGGGATAGCAAAGGGGGGGTTTGAGAATCAGCTCACGTAGCTGATTTTCCCGGCGCCTCCCGGCGCCGGAAGCGGCTATGCATCGAGGAATGGGCCCCTCGGTGAGGCCGAAACCAGCTACATGCAGCAAATTTCGTACCCCCCCCTTTCCCAATCCCCCCCTTTCGCCCGGCCCGATCCATCCCCCCTCGCGCCCCTCCGCCAGTTGATGCAGCCCGTCGCCGGGCGCTCGCGGTCGGACCGCTGCTGGGCCTGGCGCGGCAGGCACAGCGGCGTCGTCGTCGTCGTCGTCGGCGTCGTCGTCGTCGTCGTCGTCGTCGTCGGCGTCGGCGTCGGCGTCGTCGTCGTCGGCGTCGGCGTCGGCGTCGGCGTCGGCGTCGGCGTCGGCGTCGTCGTCTTTGTCGTCGTCTCCGTCGCCGTCGCCGTCGCCGTCGCCGTCGTCGAGGGGTCGTCGTCTAGGGGGCAGTGGCAAGGGAGGGGGGGAGGCAGGGATCCTGTCCACATCCACATCTACCGTTCTGCGAGCAGGCCTCCCAGGTCGTGCGAGAAAAGGTGGGATGACAACGGGTGGGCTGGCGAATCAGCTGCGTACAACTGGTTTCCCTGGCACTTCCTGGTACCAAACGCGGCCATGTATCGAGGAATGCGCTGGGCGGCGTAATCAAAAAACGCAAATGGGAGAGACATCCCGTTGTTTGGCAAAATCTCCTGGGGAAATGGGCGGCGCGTCCCCTGGGGAACGGCCGTCGGAAAAAACAAATGGAAAGACGAGGTCGCCCTTTTCAGGCGCGCGGCGGCTTCTCCGGCGCGCGCGCCCGCGCTCGCCGCGGGAGCCGCCGCGGTGCTCTCAACGCCGCATCCGCCACTGCGGTGTTAGTGCCAGCCTCAGTCCACCCTTCTCTCCTGCCTTCTCCGCCACTGCGGATTCAGCTGCCCCGCCACTCGCGCCAAGCGCTGTCGCCCCAGGAAGCAGAGCGATCGCCCCAGGAAGGCCGACCGCACCACCAGCGCCGCTGACCCCGGGAGGTGGGGCCGCAGCCACCTTCGGCTTCGCGCTCGCGGTGCCTCGGCGCGCCCGTGCTCGGGCCACGCGTGCGCGCGGGCCACGCTGGCGCGGTCCAATCAGTCGTGCTCGAGCTCCCGGAGCTCTCTGCTGAGCCTGCGTACAGAGCGCGGTCGCGCCAATGTGCCGTCGTGGTGGAGAGTCTGGGGCCCTTTATCCGCGCCTGCGCCCACGGCGTGTCCCGCGACTGCGGCCGCAACCTGTTCCGCGACTGCGGCTGCGGCTCGCCCCGCGACTGCGTTTGAAGTTTCGCGTTCGCGTTGCTCCCGTGCGTCCCTGTGGTTGTCGGCTCGGGTCTCCAATCTCTGCCAGCTTCGATGACCTTCGTGGCCTGCGATAGCCCGCAAAGGGAACTGAGCGCCGCCTTGGCGTTGCCCCCCGAGTCGCCATCTGTCAGCTTCGAATTTGTTCTGCTTGGCTCGGAAGACAGGCGGCACCAACTCGGCCCGCCCCACCCGCCTCGCGCGACGAGCGTCGGCCACTCGCTGGGCATGCGCAGCCACTGCTGCCAGTGACTGAGGGGTCGGTTGTATATACCCTTCGAGCTTCCCTGTGATGCCACCGTCCTTTGAAAGGAAAAGGCTCAGTTCCTTGACCGGGCCTCTCATGTAGTCGTGGCGGTCAAACCCGTCCGCCACTGCGGTGTCGGGCAACGTCGCTGCCAAGGTGCTCGTTGCATCGTCCTCGCGCACATCTTCGATTTTTTTGTGGAAGCCGCGCCGCCTTGACTGGTTGAGGCAAGCGATGAAGCAATTGTCCGCCATTGGCTTGCCAGCGCGAGTTTTCCATGGCGTCCACGAAGCGACTTCGCGCTGGACGCCGCCGCGGCGCAGCAGCGGCACTATCTCGAACGCGCGCACGTTGAAACCCGTGAAGAACCTGGACGTCCCACGTGGTCACATACCGTTCGAACCGACGCAGGAACGCGTCGAGTTTGTTGGCGCTGTTCTTGCCATCCAGGTCTCCGTTGGCAAGCTTGTTGCGCGCGTGAACGGCGCAAAAGTTATGCTCGCAACCTAGCTGCGCCGCGGCCTTGTCAGTGGTCACTCGGCACACCATGACCCTGCTGCAAGGCACCGTGCTTCGTTTCTGTCGTTATATATATATATATATATATATATATATATATATATATATATATATATATATATATATCTTTTTTGTTCAGCCACCCTCGTGAATCCAGACAACCGATCGCGCCGCCGAACCTGCATCGGATCTCCATGAGCAGCGTGCCCTTTGCCTCGGCGTTTTTGACGCACCGGTGCGCGCCCTTGCCGCCCGCCGCCACTGCGGCTTCGGGGTCGGGGAGTTTATGCGCGAGTTGTTCTTAGAACTCGTCGCGGGCCTCTTACAGAGCGACGATTTGGGCAGGGCGTCGGCGCACCTGGTCGTAAATGTGCTCTCGCATATCCTTGTTTTTCGGCCTCTGACCGAAAATGCCAAAGTAGCACCCTATGGTCCAAAAGTGCCCTGCCCATCCTCCACTGCGCGAATTCTTCCTGCCGTTCCGTCAACCGCGGGTCGAACCCCACGCTGTCCCCTTTGCAATTCAACTCCCGCGGCCAGAAAGGGTCTTGCCTGTCGTCGCCGAGTCTCCCCGCCACCTCCGCACCCGTTTTTGCGCGGCCCTCCGACGCAACCCCGCGCGGCACTCGAACTAGCGCTGGGCATGGTCGCTCTCGTCGTTGTCGCCCTCGTCGGCGTGCTGAGGCCGTTGTCGTCGTCCGCCCCCGCCGCGCTGTCGCCCTCTTATGTGGCCGAGTCGCTCGCTGCGCCCCCGCGCTCGTCGCTCGCCGCTGCGGTTTCGACGCGCGGATCGCGTCTGTCTACTCAGTCAGAGAAGCGGGCGCGCCGCTGCTCGGCGCCGCCTTCATTGACCACCACTGCGGCTGCATCCCACATTACCCTTAGCTCCGTCGCGGGCCAATGCCGCGCAATTTGGGCGGGCGCTGGCGGCGGCCCCTCATGCGACATCGCTGCGCGCGCGGGCGGCGCGACGGCGGCCCGGCACGCTCCGCGAGACAGGTGGCGGGCATATTTTCCCATCCATTCCCCGTCCGCCCCCCATCTCCTGGCCCTCGCCCCGTGGGGACCCCTCTCGCCTACTTGTTCCTTCCCTTCCTCTCTCTCCCCCCTCTTCCTCCCGTCCCCTTCGCCCCCCTTTTTTCCCCGCCCTCCTCCCCCTCCCCCATCCTCCTCCCCATCTCCCCGTTCTCCTCCTCCGCCTCCTCTTCGCCTCCGTCCCCCTCCTCCCCCTCGTCGCCCCCTTCGCCCTCTCCCTCCTCCTCGCCCCCCTCCTCCTCTCCGCCCCCCTGGCCCCCCCCCCCCCATCGATGTCTTCCTCCCCCTACTCCTTTTCCCCCTTGCCCTATCCCTGCGTCGCCCCCTCCCCCCGACCCCTCGAAGCCCTTACCTAGCGACGTGCTACGGGGCGCAACCAGCTCGCAGCCGCGAGCGCGCTGGGCCACGTAGACCGCCACTGCGGTTTTACCCTTCTGCATCTGGTAGCACCGCGGCGGCGGCCCCGGCCTGCGCGCGGCGCGACCCTCGATGCGTGAACTCAATCACGGCGTTCTGTGTCCCAGAAACTGCGTCGTCCGATACTTGGCGGATCCAGCCCGCGAGTGCCGCGCGCAAGCTAATTTGTTCAACGCCGACGTCCTCTGCTTCTTCGCCCTGCAACCCATCGGGCAGCATTGCGACGCGAGATGTTTCGACACCGAAGCCGCCTCCAAGTCCTGAGTGGCAGCCTTTTTGTTTATGAATTCCTCATCTGCGTGCCGAAGTTGCAGCTTCATGCTCGCCAGCGACTTTGCGCAGTCATTCGCCTCTTGGATGAGGCGCCTTCGCTTCGCAGCCGCTGCGGCGTCGTGGTCGCGCTGGGCGTTGAGCGCGGCGAGCAAGCTGTCGTCCTCCTGGCAGAGCTCGCGCACATTCCGGCGCTCCTTCTCCTGCTCCGAGAGAACCTGGCGGCCCGATCCTCCTCGCGCCCCCGCCCCCCTGGCCCTTCTCGCCCCCTTCGTTGCTCTTTACGCCCCCCTCCCCTTCCTGCCCCCCCGCCCCCCGCGCGCCTGCTGCGCCGAGGCCGTGGCCCCGACGCTCCGCGGCACTCCCTGGGCTTCCACCATCTTCTCCACCATGACCCTCGACGCCGCTACCTGCTTGGACATCCTCTCGTCGACCGCGAGGCGCGACGGCGCTGAGGCCGCCCATTGCCTGGCCGCGTCATTCGTCGCCGCCGCAGCGGGTTCGCAGGGCCCAGACATGGCCCCTCTCCGCCCTGAAGCTTCGCCGGCCTCCCCCCCCCTTCGCTCCCAGGACAGCTTCCCGACAAGGGCTCGCCGCCCCCCCCGGCCTCCTCGTCGCCCATAGTCTCCTCTTCCAAATTCTCGAGCACCTCGTCGACCACTTTGTTCGGCGTGCATGGCCGGATCAACCCTTTCGCGTTGCTCTGCGACCACTTTTGCCGTTTCGCTGCAATTTCCGTCCGAACTTTCGCCGCTCCGTCGGCGATCTTGCGGCGCATGCCGCCGGCGCCGCGTCTGCCGCCCGGGCGGAACGCGCCCGCCCCCTGACAGACCTCCGCGACCTGAGAGCCGCCCAGGGCCAAGCGGATGCCAGTCTTTAAAATTCCGCTCGCGGCGCGTTCATGCAATCCCGCGCATTGTAGGACTGCAATCACGAGGTCGCAGCGCCTCTCGCGTGCCAGGTGCGGCGCAAGAGCCCCGTCGGAAATTTGCTGGATGATCTCGGGCACTTCGACCGCGCGGCGCTCCCGCTGCACGTGCCCGCTGAAGTCAGCGCCAGCAGACTGCGCCACGGCCGTCGCCGCCCCCCAGCCCCTGCCCCCGTGGATGAGCAGCGCGAAGTCGCGCGGCCATGCCAAACGGTAGACATCTTCGCTCTTGCGCGACTCGTGATCGTCCGCCATGAGAATGCGCCACTGCCGCTGCGGATCATCATCGCTCGGGCGCTGGGGGAGGCGTTGGCGAAGGAACGCGATCGCGTCCTCTTGTCTGTGCAAGCCATTCTCACAAGTTGTCGCCGTCGCCCAAGAAAGGTGCCCGCCACTGCGGAAATGCCCCTTGCGACCGCTGCTTCGCTACCAACCCGCCACGGAACGTGAGCTCGCACCGCGGCGGGCCGTTCTACCGCGGTTCCTCGACGTCGCTGGCCACGCGCAACT